GTATTTGTATCCCATCCAAATGCTCACCAAAGGGTAGTCTCAGCAAAGGATATTTATTGGTCCTAAGGAAACTATGATCTCTTTCCCCAAACACCCCTGACATTGCCCAGTGGGTTCATGAACATATTGGTTATGATGACAAGGATGAGGTTATTCATGGGCTTACCAACATGTACTTCCACTTATGGAGACCAATCTGTTTATGTCTACCACTGAGTGTCCAGTATGCTAGCAGTACAAATTCCTGTTGGCACCAGTACACAGTGTGATCAGCCAGCAACCTGATGGTAAATTACTTTGAATTACTTCAATCATGTAATGTGCAGGGTTTTTTTTCTTACTGGAATAGATATTATTCCGGATATGGATTTACCTTTCCTGCATGCAGCACTTTTGTCAAAATGAGCATCTGTGAATTTACCAACTCAATAGTATTCCACACGGAACTACTTAAAAATGTTTATTAGCATAAAATAGTTGTATAGGGAGATGCACTGTGATACTTACATATGTGCTTGCAATATATCCTAATTAGATTTACCCCCTCCATAGTTGTCCCTTTTCATCTCCCCTTCTTAAGAACAATTTCAGCAGGTTTTATTCTTCTATTTTCATACATTAATACAAAGTATGTACATCATATTAGCACTCATTCACCTTTTCCTAATGCCCACCTAGCATCCCACTGGTACCGCCTTTCCCCTGGAAAAGGCCTAGTTAGCCTCCTGCCTTTTATTTTTTATTGGCATTTTATCTTATTGTATCTTTTTTTAATTCATATGTACATACAATGTTTGGGTCATTTCTTCCTCCTTCTCCCTGCCCTCTCCCTTATCCCCCCACTCCCTCCCTTACCCCCCAACCCCTCACTACCACTGCCTTTTATTTTTTAAAAGTGTATATTGATGGTCCAAGCCCCCTTGGTTCAGGCTTTTGGTTCAGGCCTGTATATATCATGTTTTAATAAAACTACCCTCCTCCATTACTCTTTCTCTATCACCATGCTTCCCTAATATTCAACATCTTTTTATAGGCCAGTACATTATATTCATATATAGATGGGCTATTTCAATGTTATTCATTTTAACATTTTATATACCTCTACCACCTCCCATAGTTCCCTCAGACTCACCAATACAATTTTGTTCTCTCACTATATATATATATATGTATGTATATGCACACACATACATGTATATATGATCATATAGCTATACATATTTAACTTTTAGGTCTAGCTTGCACATATGAGGGAAAACATGCAACCTTTGACTTTTTGAGCCTGGATTACTTCCACACAGAAGTACTTCTGACCAAGGAACTCACTTCATAGCAAAGGAAGTGTAACAATAAGTCCGTGCTCATGGAAGCCAGTGGACTTACCCTATTCATGTTCTGAACAACTGATCTAATAAAATGGTAGAATGGTCTTTCAAAGATAGTTACAGTGCCAACTAGGTGACAACACCTTGAGGGGCTGGGGAAGGGTTCTCTGGAGTGGTGTGAATCAGCATTCACTGTGTGGTGTGGCTCTTCAGATAGCCAAGATTTACAGGTCCAGGAGTCAAGTAGTAGAAATGAGAGTGGTGCATTATTGCCCCCAAGTGACTCATTACAAAAGTTTTTGCTTTGTGTTTCTGTGATCATAAGCTCGACTGGCCTAGAAGTTTTTGTTCCAAAAGGAGAAATGCTTCTTCCAGGAGGCAATGATTCCATTGAACTGCAAGTTAAAACTGTTAAGAAGTTACATGTGGATATCCAGAGAAGTTAATATTAAGTAAACACCCCTTAAGGTTCCAAGAGAAAATAATATCAAGTCACATTAAAGGACCAGGAATCAAAATGGCTTTGAATGGTTACAATAATAATACTAGAAGTAAGAAGGCAGTGAAATCATAAACAATCAGAAGAAATCTGACTGTTATCAGGATTCTATAGCAAAAACTATAAAACAAGTGAGAAGATATAAAGTAAAACCCTTTCAGAAATGCACAATATTCAAATTTTATTCTCATATTTTTCTTGAGACAACTAGAAACATGAAAGACTGTTCATCTTCATTAACCACTTGGAAATATATATTAAAAACTATAACGGATATTGCTGCAAACTTAGTAGAACTTATTTTTTCTAAAGTAAAATAGTGATGATACCAAATGCTGATGAGGATGTACAGAAATTGGTTTTTGCAAACATTGCCGGTGAGAATATAAAAATGGTAGATCCGCTCTAGAATGTAGTTTCACCGCCTCCTATAAAACAGTGTATGCAGCTACCAAACAACTTAGCAGTTACACTCTTGGGCATTTATTCCAAAGGAATTAAATCTTAATGTTCACACAGAAAGCTGTACATGAATGTTTCTAATAGCTTATTCATAATAGAAAAATCAGGGAACAACCCAAATATCCTTCAACAGACTAATGAAACCAAACAATGGACTACTACACGGTATAGCCAAACAATGGACTATTACTCACAGTTCAAAAGAATGAACTATAGATACAACAGGTCTCAAAGGAATTATGCTTAATGAAAAAAAAAGCCAATCTCAATAGATTACTGTAGATTCCTTTTATATTATACTCTTGAAATTGTATAACAGTGGATAGAAAAAAGATTAGTCAAGGTTGCTGGGAACAGAGATGGGATTTGGACAGAATATTAACACAAGGAAGTGTCATAAAGGAGTTTTTTGTGGTGACAAAAGAGTTATAGATCTTGATTGTGATGATAAATACCGAACTATATATGTAAGATAGAATTGCATGGGCTCAGCATGGAGTAAACACGCACAAACACACATATTCACATGAAGGATGACAAATGATAAAAATCAAAGTCTGTAACCTAATTGACTGTAATGTACCAATGTTATTTTTCTGGTTTTTATATTATACCATAGCTATTTAAGATGTCACTATTGGGGGAGGCTGACTGAGGGGTACACTGGACACAGTTTTGTATCCTCAAAGAATTTCAAGTGACTTTATAATTATTTCAAGATGAAAAAAAAACTTCACAGAACTTAAAATAAATATATATAGAAATATGAAAAATATCATGTACATGTGAACTCATTTTAAGTTCTATATTAGAAAATCACCCAAAAATTGTTCCTAGGGTTATTAAAATTAATAAATGTGCTGTAAACATAGATGAATAAAATGGGGGAAAGAAGCTCCTGGAGAATTTTTTAATAACAAGGGAGGACAGAAAGATAAAGGCATGAAAAACCTCCCAGGTTCATGAAAGGTGGTCCTGAGAATAGCACACTGCTGTGTACCAGTAATGCAGAGTGAATAGGTTTGCTATAAAAAATGAGAGGACCCCGTTAGTAAGGTGAAAATGATGTGATTCATAGTATCAAACTGTGTTCAGAGAAAATTTTGAAAATTGATGAGGGTTTGGTCTTGAAAAGTAAGCAAGTAAGCAAGCAAGCAAAAAGAAAAGCCAAACAAGACATAATTCCAGGGAAAAGAAAACACTGCAGATGAGTAAAATTGCTAAACTTTTAGAAATTGCAGAAAAAGAGATAATTATATTTAAGAGATAAAAGAAAAAGAAGATTGAAAACTGTGATTATGCTTAGACGCTGGAGGGCAGCTGATGGCTTTGATAACACTATTTTCTTTGACACAGATGATGAAACTATGTACTAAGGGCTGGGAAATTAGATACAATGAGTGGAGGCACATGAGAGAGAGCTACAGCTTCACTCAGTATATTAGAGTTTGTTGTATTTTTTAACATAGCATCTGCACTGCTGCCCTTCTCTGACTTCTATTTTCCCATCTGTATGTTTTCTTTTTCCTCAATCTTACCTTATTCTGTATTTATGCCACTTTCTACCTCATCAATATTGACCAATTCTAGAGCATATCCTTATCACAAATTTGGATAGGAGTAGTAAATGAGAGGATTGGAAACAGCAAAACAGGGGAAATGTGGAGTAAGTTTTGTTTCTTGCTGACTCTTTTTTGGTTCTCACATCCTTACATAGCCTGAATAAACTTCCTAGTTGACTTTCTGAACCTTTATACTATACAAAGGAGGAGGCAAAATATTAGCACCTTGAAAAAGTAGGTCCTTTAAATATTAAGTTATAAAATTAATTGATCCTAAAGTGAAACACTAAACTTGATGACAAAATGTTTACATGGGCTTTATTTCTTCACCCCTAGAAAGTTCTGATATAGTGTTAACATTTGGTTTGTTGTCATTTTATTTTAATTAAGATTGAATTCTTTGAGGGTTTTGCATGCTGTTCATCTTCTGCTGAATGAGTTAGGTAGCAATCATGGTTGAGATCATGGGTTAGGAAAGACCTATATTGTTTTCCCCTCATTTGGTTCCATTACTGGGGGCAGTGTGGTATTTGGGTACATTTTGAATGTTAGTCAGAGTCTTCAGATTGATGTTGACCTTTTGCAGGACATGAGGAAGAATTTCCATCCAGAATTTCAAAACCTGAGGGGTTTTGCTGTATCTCTTGTTCTGAATCTGTGTTGGTCAAACAGGTTAAATACATGTCCTGAACTAAGTTTTGGCTAGAAGAAGGATGACAGTTTGGCCTCATATCTTCTGTTGTTTTCTGATCTCTATATTTCATGTCATCTCCTTTTCTGTCTCCTGTTTCTATATATGCATCTTCTTCTCTTACAACTCTGGATTCAGTGTTGTGTTGGACTTTATCTTGATATTCACTGACTTGAAATAAAATGTTTTGTGATGACCAGCCTAGGTTTTGTTGGGCTGTGGTGCTCTGGATTTGGGCTTGTTGGTACAAATCTTTCTGCTTTAGGGCTTCTTTCTCTAATAGATCTTGGGATTCCCAGTTTAGGGAATGCTGTGTTTCAAATTGCCATTCTTGTGCTTTCCAGTCTCTGTTTCTCCAGCCTTGACTTCTCCAGTCTTGGAATTGGTGACAAAAAGGTTGCCTGCTTGAGGTTGTCCAGTGGAGCTTTTCTGGGGATTGGTAGTTTTGGTATTCCTGTCTGTCAGAGAGCTGCTTTGGAGCTTTCTGCACTTGAGTTTGTTGTTGTTTGACTTGCCAATTTGGGGAATTGTCCCTTTGAGGGTTTCTCTTCTTCGGCCTGCTGGTCTGCAGCTTGCTGATCATGGATTTGTTTCTTTGGGGATTGCTCATTGTTAGCCTGCTGATCTTTATCTTCTCCACCTTCAGATTGTGCCTTTGGGGATTGCTCTTCTATGGCCTCTTGGTCTTCATATTGATCGTTTTCGGATTGTTCCCCTTTGTCCTCTTGATCTTCAGCTTGCTGATCAGGGAGTTGCTTTGAGCTTTGATTATATTGTGTTTGCTTATCTATGGAGTGCTTCTTTGGGAATAGCCAGGCTTTGAGTTTTTTGTCTAGAGAATTTCGTCTTGGAGATTTGCTTGGTAGGTCTAAGGAATATCGCTTTTGGGATTGCTTATGTTTTCTTGGCAGGTCTAAGGAATGTCTTCTTGGAGATTTCCCATCTTTGTTTTGCAGCTCTAAAGATAGTCTTCTTGGGGATTTTAAGCCATGGGGTTTCTTCTCAGATTTCCATTCTTGGGTCAGTTCCATGACTTCTGATTGAATGTCTTGATATATTATTTCTGGAAACTCTTGGCTTTGTGATTGAAGATCTTGGCATGGCACATCTTTGGATGATGTGTTTTGCAATGGCATATACTGATATGATGCATCTTGAGATGGTGTGTTTTGGGATGGTGTGTCTTGGGATGGAATGTCTTGGGTTGTAATGTCTTGAGATGGTTTGTCTTGGGATGAAATGTCTTGGGCTGGAATGTCTTGAGATGGTGTTTTGGGGGATAAAACGTCTTGGGTAGAAATGTCTTGAGGTGGTGTGTCTTGGAGTGGTATGTTTTGGGATGGAATATCTTGCATTGGAATGTGTTGGGACAGTGTATCTTGGAGTGTTGTATTTGAGGATGAAATGTCTTGCATTGGAATGTGTTGGGATGGTGTGTTGTGGGATGGTGTGTCTTGGAATAGTGTGTTTTGGGATGGTGTGTCTTGGGATAAAATGTCTTTGGTTGGAGTTTCTTGGGATGTCATGTCTTGAGATGATATGTTCTTGGATGAAATATCTTTGGATGAAATGTTTTCAATTGGAATTTCTTGGGATGGTATGTCTTGGGATGGACTGTCTTCAATTGGAATGTCTTGGGATAGTTTGTCTTGAGAAGGTATGTCTTGAGAGGGCAAGTCTTCAGATGTCAGGTCATATAACTGTTCGAAATGGGATGATGGAGGTTCAGATTGCAAGGCTTGTGTTAGCAGGGTTCGTATCAGTGGTGCATAGGATATAACGTCATTGGGTAGCAAAGCTAAGAGTTTTCTTTCATATGAGTTTGGTACAGCTTGGAGTGGCGAGGCTTGGTCCTGAAGCAGTTGGGTTTGCATTTCAGAGGGTTGTGCAGTAGCAGATTTTAATTCTTTATCATCCAGCTGTTCTGTTGTACTGTTTCCTTGAGTGAATATAGGATTTTTTGAGGAACTTGCTTCTAATGTGGAAGGTGGAGATTTCATCTCTTCTTCCTGTGACAACTTGAAAGGTGGAGGGATACTGTCCTGGTGTTCATCTGGAATAGGTATAAGAGGTGTGTAGTAACTATCATGAGCTTTATCACTTGGCTGTGATTTGCTTTGGGGAGACAAAGGACCTCTTGAGACTCTTAACTTGAAGAAAGCATAGCTCCAAAGAAAATGGTTTGTATGTTTGAAGTTGTATTGTCAAAGTAAGGGTTCTCTTGAAATGCAAATTGTAATTGAGCATTTTCTTCTGGGGATTGTTGTTCACTACTTTGAGTGATATCTGAAGGCAAGAAAAACAGAACCTATAAAACCAAGTGGAGAGTGGAACATTAATTTCACAGACAGAATCATTTTTGATGTTATTTTCTTTTTGTATCTTCAAATTATTTTTCATCTTTGACTTATGATTACATATAGGAAAGAAAACAAATACCTTTCTTCCCTTCACCATCAACTCATTGGCATTATTTTGGAAAAGTAGTTACCCCTTATTATTTCAAATATCGAACAGAGGATTTGATTAAGATTGCCTCAAATTTTCCTCCCATTCCTACTATTATAAAAATTTTAAGACATTTAAATCATTCAATTAATATTCATCTATGAAGGTTTAATTTGCAATGATTTATTGATCACCTAGATGAACTAAATGTTGGTGATCAAAGAAAATTAGGTGTGAGTTTTGCCCTTAAGATGTTCACCATTATAGGCAGAAAAACACATAAGTAGATAATAAAACCATTCAGGAAATGCCTAATACAGAGTACTTATTATAAAAATAAGCAGTGACTGCTTCATGGAAATACAGAAGATGACCTAATTGTAATAGAACCAGAAAATGCTTTGTGCAAGAGATGATATCTGATCTATGTCTTGATGGTTAAGTAGGATTTTCACAGGCAAAAGAGGCAAAGTGAAGTAAGACAGGAGACAGAATTCAGGGAGTGGAAACAGTGTAAACAGTGGGCATAAAATATACCATAAGTGGCCCTTATGGTGTGATAGCAAATTGTAGGCAGTTAGAAATTGTTAAATGATATGGTAGGCTAGGGAATTTGGATTTGCCTTTGAATTGAAGTCTATTGTACTTTTATATAGCTAAATTTTTATATAGCATCTAATAAAATGTTAGTGAATGCTTCCCATTTTTTTCTCATTACAATGAAGCCTGATGATTTTTTTATTAGCCTGTGCCTTTTCTGAGGCTGTTCATAGAATCAGAATATAATTTTTAATCTATTTTATGAAGGTTTTGGAACTCAGTGTTTAAATGAATTATGCCTACCCAGTTGGCCTCACTGAGAATCTACACATTCTCCTAGCCCTCTTAATTTGTTTTCCATGCCCATATTTTATCTCTATTAGAGGACTATTTATGTTATTTTGGTATTTTAAGGGTTTTTCTGTATCTTTACTGATCCCTAAGCTTTTGTTATACTGGAATTATAGCTTATGAATGTATTCAAAGTAAGTTTTGGAGGCATAAGTTATATATAATTTCCCTGTTTATTCACACTTAAAGTACCATGATTTTAGAATTTCTTATCCTTAGTGATGACTGAGTTATTAATAGGTCCCAGGCAAATTTCCAAAGTCATGTCAAGTAATTGTTATAACATCCCTATAAGGTTATTATCCTTGTTTTACAGCAGAGGGAACTGAACTTCTGAGATATTAATCAGACCAGTGTCATAGAGCTATAAACTGTGAAGCTAGGATTCACACATTGTAATAGAATCCTAGGTCCTGGTTTTCTACTCTAATCTTTGTTTTTGTAGATTTATCACTTCAGCTACTCCTTACTACAGGGTGGTTATGAATGAAGATCATGAAGTAATGCTTTTAAGCATGGTAGTTGGTACAAGGAAAATTTTCCAGAAATATGAAGAGTTAATTTTCCCTTTCTTAATCTTGAGACCATAGTCCATGTTATACTATCTTTGAATCCCCTGCTGTACTTTGGATACTACTATGCTGAAGAGGAATAAAACTCTCTACACACTGAATTCAATTGGATAATTATTTACTGTAATTTATTTTAATATTGTTCCAACATGGATTTGTACTCTTCTGTAGTTGTATAATATGCAGATGCTATGAAAAATGTAATCATTCAATAAAAAAATATGAAAGCCAATATCCATTCATAATAAACATGGAGTAAATTTACTTTGTGAAAAATTTATGAAGAATATTTTTTGTGGCAGTACTGGGGTTTGAATTCAGGGACTTGTAGTTGCAGAGTAGAGCAGCTCATGTTATGGCATCTAGGAAGCAGAAAGAGAGAATGCCAGCACTAGTGGGACTCTTTCTTTTTCCTTCTTTTATTTCATCGTCCCTTAGATGGTACTGCACACATGGGTGGATCTTCCTCCATTAGTTAGTCTGCTCTGGAAATGCCCTCACTGCCCCCTCAAAAGATGTGCTTTACTAATCTCCTGTGTGTTTTGCAATCCATTCAAGTTGACAATCAAGATTAACTACAATTGGATTTGGCAAAGATTTCATGGGTATGACACCAAAAGAATAGACAAAAAAAGTAAAGAATATATTAACCAGACTTCATGAAAATAAAGAATTTTTGTATGTATAGGCATAGACATACTGAACAGTGGAACAAAAGTCACCTTTAAGTAAGTGGTCAATTTTCAACAAAAGCACTAAGACAATAAGGGAAAGAATTACATTTTCAACAGATGGTATTTGGGTAACTGAATATTCCCATGATGAAGTGCAGGTACTTAATTTTAACCCTACCTGATAATGTGCACCAGAGGCCTAAACATAAAAGCCAAAGGTATATAACTTCTTTGAAAAAATAAAGAATTAAGTTTTTATCATCTTTGGGCAGGAAAAGTTTTATTAGAACACAAAAAAGACTAACTGCAAAAATAATCAAATTTGTCATTTCAAAGAAACTATGAAATTAATGAAAAGGCCAACCACAAGCTGAGAAAAGTATTAGCAATACAAATATCTGAAAAAGAACCTGGAGTAAGAATTAATTAAGCTTTAGAAGTCAATAAATAGTAGGTAAATAGTCCAATTAAAGTCAGGAAAAGATTTGAAAGAAGCATCTCAAAACAAGACCTACAAGTGGTAATAAACATATTGCAAGAGTCTCATTAGACATTAGAGAAATGCAAATTAAACTACAATGAGATACCAGTCACTGCACACCCACTGGAATTACTAAATTATTATTTATTTTTACTACTTTTATTAGCAGACATTAATAGTACAAACATGTGATAATTCCATGGATGCATACAATGTACCTTGAACAAGTTCACTTCCTCTGTAATATTCCTTTAACCCTTCTTCCTTCCTTTCTCCTCTCCCTTTTTCAAACAGTATTAAACAGTATTTGTTATCTATCTATCTATATATATATATATATATATATATATATATATATATACATGCTTTGATCTTCTTCACCTCCTGAGCCCTTTCCTCCTTCTTCTCCTGCTGGTTTTACCAGTCATCTCCTTTTAACACTCAGGTCCCATCATCATCATGGTCATCAAAATTTAATTTTAAGCATTAGTGATTAAAGGTGCAACTATACCTTTAATATATTGCTAATGAGTATGAAAAATGGTATAGTCACTTTGGATATCTGTTAGACATTTTCTTATAAACATTCTTATAAACATCTGATGATCTTGAAATCAAATCCTAAATATGAACATATAGATATTGTGATGTTTTGAATTTGAAATGTCCCCCAAAAGTTCATGTGTTATGGACTTTGGGGAAATGATTGGATCCTGAAGGCTCTTACCTAATCAATAGATTAGTCCCTTGATGGATTCATAACATGACATTATTGGGAGGTTGGACCCAGTAAGTCACTGGGGTATGTGTCCTTGGTGGCTATATCTTGTCTTGGATTCTCCTCTCCTCCTCTGCAGTCCCCTCTTCCCTCCCCTCCTTCTTCTCCTTTCCCCTCTCCTCCCCTCCACTTTCAGCTGCCATGAAATAAATAGCCTTGCTCCTTCATGCCCTGTCCACTGTGATGTTTTGCCTTACCTCAGGCCCACAGCAACTGGGCCAAGTGAGCATGGACTGATACCTCTGACATCATGAGACAAAATAAGCTTTTCCTTCCTTAAGTTGATTTGCTTAGGCAAATCTGATTAATGGAGATATGAACTCAAATGTTCGTAGCAACATATTGATAATTGTTCAGAAACTTAGGGTGGCTTAGGCATGTAATCCTACTTCTCCACTCAGGCATTGATCAGGAGGATGGAGGTTCCAAGCCATATGGAAAATGCCCAGCACAGAACAGAGCTGGAGAAGTGGCTCAAGTGACAGGGCACCTGCCTAGCAAGTATGATGCCCTGAGTTCAAACCCTACTACTGCTGCAAAAAACAAAAACAAAATTTAAAATATCCAAATATCCATGAAGAGGTAAATGGATAAGCAGATTGTGGGGTGCCCACACATAAAAGGGATGATGGATACCTCAGCATAGATAAATTTCAAAAACATGTTTCTGTGTGAAAGAGGTGAGGCATAGAGAACAATTTCTTATGATTTCATGTCCATGGCATTAACGAGAGCTAAAATCAACCTAGGTGATAAGAACATTAACTGCAAAAGATTTCAAAAATAAACTGAGAAGATTCAAAAAGTGGCTGATAGGAATGCACTGCATCTCAATTGTGACAGTAGCTAAACAGGTATATACAATTTGTCAAAGCTCAGTGATCAGTACACTTAAACTTGGAGTATTTTATTGTTTGTAAATTATACTTCTATAAAGTTGATTTTTATAAAAACAGGAAAATTCCCACTGAATGAGAGGTATTTGTAACTTAGAGAGCAAACTCCGGCACTATGCCATCTGAGTCAGAATCCTAATGTCTTGTGATATTGGGAATGTTATTTAACCTCTTTATGCCTTAATTCCTTCATATGTTAATAAGATGAGATAATAGTTTTTAATACTATTGAGTCATTATGCAGTGATCATAACAATGACTGACATAGTAAGCATTTGGCACATAAAAACTATAATGATTATTATAACTAGTATTTGCTACCACTGTTAATGTATTTTCTCTCTTCCCTTTTTGGTGAGGGAATTGTCTCACATACTTTCTGATCCATGTGTAACTGCCCCTTGTCACAGTAATACGGGTTTCCATAAATTCTGATATTTCACATATTTGGCAGGGAGATGAACTGTGTATGAGCAGAGATGACTGAGAACAGTAGATAGGGCAAAAAGGGAAAGTATATTTCCCTAAAGGGTAGAGTAAGCTTTGATCTAAAGCTAGTCCGTCTCTGACCTTCCTAAATTTAGAAGTTTCAGTTCTGTATCTGAGCATAATGCTCTGTCCACTAATAGACCAGAAATCACCTTAGAGTGTCCCAATATAACACTGAACGCACCTTATCTGAATGTGTCCAGCAGTTGCTTCGAAAGGATGCGACAGTCACAGAGATGCTGAGCTCTGCTATGCTGATGATTAAAATGACTGACAAAATCCCCTGTAAATATGAAGGGAAATGAATGGGATTGGGAATGAAAGAAATATCATTTTAAGCATAGAGGCCAAAAATGCCTTATGCTCCATGATCAAGTTTGGCAAAACTCATATTTTAGGTGTTTCTGTAACTTTAAACATTGCACAATTTTCATGTCTTTTTGATAAGGCAGGGGTAACAAACTCTAGTGCCTGTGAAGTCCAAGATGTCATGTTGAGTGGAAAAGGGAGGGAGACAGTACAAAGCAATGGTATTCATAGGAGGTATATATTACTCAAGTCCAGTCAGTGAATTGTTGCCATGTGGCACCATAAAGCCTGTTTTATTTTTCTTTCCTAAGGAATCTTGATATATTCCCCCATTTTTGGCAGTACTGGGGACTTAACCCAGAGCCTTGAACACGCCAGACTCTACCACTTGAGCCAGACCTTTTGTTTGTTTTTTTGTTTCCAAGATAGAGTCTCACTAATTTTTCTGGGACTGCCCTCAAACTTGAGATCCTCCTACCTCCACCACCCAAGAAGCTGGTATTATAGGCATGTGGCACCATTCTCAGCTATACACATATTTTTGCTAATCCTTTTTTTTTTTGGTGGTACTGATGTTTGAACTAAGGGTCTGGGGCTTGCTAGGTAGGTGCTCTACCACTTGAGCCACTTAGTCAACTACACGTGCATTTTTGAAATGAAAATTTTCAGCTATTTATGCACCTATGTAAGCCAAATAATCATATCTGCAAGATGGATACAGATACAGATTGCATACTCTGCTTTAAGGTAATATTTAGAATGAAAGGCAGTATGGTACAGCATGATTTCCAAAAAGCTGAAACTCTGAGAATAGTTAAATCTGGGTACAACTGAGTCCAAGGTCACACTTAACCTTAGGCTAGTGACCGAGTCTCTCCAAATTTTGGTTTCCTTTTTAGTATTTCAAAATCTTAGCTGTTCACCATCTGTTGATAAAACTGAAATGTATTTAGACCCCCCCCCGTAGTAGGCAATTTACTGGCTTTAGCTATTGAACAAAAGAGACCTGATCTTGGTCTTTCTGGAACTTACATCATAGTAAAGGAAGCAGATACTAACAAATAATTAGGTAATTATTTAGTTAAGTAAATTATGATACATGCTACAAAAAAGTATGAGCTTTGCACTAATATAATGGGGATTCTCATCATGTCTGAGAGTAGAGGTGTGGTAAGGAAAGTCTTCCTTACATAAGTAGTGTTTGAGCTGAGATTTAGGTATATTTCAGTCTTAATCCTATGTTTAATAGAAAGACATTTAGCAATGTGCCCAGACTTGCATTTTAAATAATGTCTTGAGTATACAACCATCATTGTGACAGCCATCAGTCCAATAGACATCTATACCTCACTGCTCTATTTTTTAAGCTTGGTTAAAGCAAGGAGACATGAAATTATACAAGTGAGGATAAGAACAGATTCTCCATGGTTCAGTGTTCAGGTAATTAATCTTGTAATACTTTCCATGGAAGGCAGGAAATAGCAAAATTTCATACAGTATTTTTAGTATATTACTCCTTCTATCTATTACTACTGCAACAGATAGCAGTGGATTCCCGAACATTAGGATAAAAGGGTATGAATTAAACTAGTATATTGTATGCTTGGTCCAATTAGGAAGGAAACTTATCCCTTGTGTTCTTTTCTGGCTTTCCTTAGTAACTTGATTCTAATTTTGGAATTTAACTCAAAATATATGAGAGGGTCCTTTAGCCACTTCCATGGGTGATTGTGAGGATTAAATAAGATTTTGTATTTAGTAACTGATAACATTTTTATTGATTCCTTCTTTATTCAGGGAGATAATTTCCCATAATTCTACTTCACTTCCATCTTAACTGGGTTAAATATCCTTAAATTTCTAATGCTCAAGCCTTCAAGGTATAGCTGGTGAAAACAGAATGAGAACCTCAGGACTTTCTTATGGAAGTAGAAGGAATCTTTGACATGATTTTAAAAATGCTATTTATTACTTATGACATGAACACCTAAGATTCTTTTTCCTGGTAAAGATATATCTCATTTCCATTATTGAATAAAATTGCTGCAGTTCCATAAAAGTTTGTGCCCTAAAATTAGTAAAATGCCTCATTTCTTAAACACTTAATCACACAGTATTTTTGTGTGTATGTGTCAATTGATCAAATGTTTCAATCATTTTGTTCCTTTTCAATGAAAAGGCAAAATGCAATCCAATTTATATTAATGATAGTTTAATCCAATTTATGTCAATAAAATTATTATACTGACACTGTTTACACTGTGTCAGGTACTAGTTGAAGTAATCCTTACAAAAGCTCAATGAGTTAGGTTATCTTTCATTTTTCACAAGAGGAAAAGTGAAGTATAGAGCACATACGATGTTAGGCCAAAGTCGCAAGCTCAACAAGATCAAACCAGAATCAAAATCCAAGAACATGGTCTCTAAGCCTTCTTAAGCTTCATTCCTCAATGTGCTTCTCCGTATCAGTTCAAATGTTGACACAGCTTCAAGTTTTGGAAATGAATGTATCCTTGTGCCAAGGACATGGTTCGGATAGGTTTGTACAGAATCTTCATATAAAACAAGATCACTTACAACAAGAAGTGTTCTACCTACAACACAGGATCCTTCCAGGGAAGGCATCTCACAGAACTTGTGTTGCTGCGTGAAGCTGATGATAGTGAAAATAATCCCAGCCAGTGCAGCCAAAGCACTGATGACATTCATGGTTGTGACACGTAGTCCCTGGAACAGAGTTTTAAAACATAGTAAAGAAAAACTAAACCAAACTCAAAAAACCTTGAAAGAAATTTTTAGTGCTGTTCCCTTTCCAGATGTCTCACAGGGATGAATTGTTCCATCCGGTCAATATGGTAGGAAAGCTCAGTAAATTAAATTCTGATTCATCAAAGTCAGAAGACAAACCAAGTTTTAGATTGAGCAGGAATACTCTGTGTTTAATGCTAAAGGAATGTTCATTTTTATCTAAGTTAAATTATCTTTCATAACTTGGAAACAGTTGGCATGTTAGAAAATCTCTCTCCTGGAAATCAGACTTGATTTTGAGTACTAGCTCCATTAGACATTGTACTAAATTACTTAATAATTGGAATTCAATTTCACTTTTTAAAAATGAGAATGGTGTCACCTAACTTTAAGGTAATATTCATTTATTTCATAAAAATTTAGTGTGTACTGAACAAGTGGACTAGACATTGCATTTGGTTCCAGAGATGTTATGAGAAATGAGAGGTGACATTCTATGTCATATGTATGAAATTCATTCCTCCAGCGTATTCAAACAATAAACAACAAAATCACTAACATATTTAGAGATGGTAAAACAGATGGACTGGAGTTTAAAGGTGTTGTTTCATATTCTCCCATCCAATTCCTTTGTTCAATCCCATTGTGTTTATTTGGGAGGAAGACATGTATGCTTGAGTTCTTCAAAAGAAGGAGGGGCATCTTATTATTTTTTCATATCCATTCCTAGCACTGATCTTACTCTTTTAAGGAAAAACAAAGAAAAAACATTATGTCTCAACTCAGAGTGTACTTACTGCACTTATTGATTGTGTTATGTCTGTTGTGGTAGGAAAGGCAGTGATGCATGTACACAGTCCGTTCTTCCTGGATCAGTTTGTGGCTTAGTTTGACAAGACTCGGAAGTATACTTATGACTTAATGTTTTATCTCAAACTGAGATATTTATTGCAAACAAGCATTTGGAAAAAATGCAAGAGGGCATGCAGATATGCCATCTCTCTCAATCATTAGTCCTTTGCTCTTCCCAGGCTCTGTTTTGGCTCTCAACAGGACATTTTTTTTTTAAAGATTAAGGTGTCTAGATGTGCAGTCTCTCATGTGGGTTGTGCTTTACAGAGAACACACCAAGCCTCGTCTCATCAGATCTTATTATAGATTTGGGAATGGATGTAAGGCAAGACACTTGCTATCCCATTTTATAGATGAATGGATCCAGGAGTTGAGTGATATGAGCAATCCCAAAGTTGGCCGAAGAGCTGTGATGAAACTCATGTCCAGTTTGGCTTTCTGCCCCATTATTTATCCTGAATCACGATCTGTGGAGATGACGATGGGTCAGAGAGAGGCTTTGTCTTAACCTTAGTACATTTCTTAGCTTAGAAGAAGTCAATAGAGAGAACAGCACTTTGTTTCATCTGCATGTCATCATTTATTTCCATGAGGATGAGGGCCCTCAATCCCCTAGAACTTTCTTTGGCTTGTAACTATTCCTAGAGGAAATTCACAGAGAATAAAACAGAGATAAATGGCTTTGAGAGAAGGCCACATCTTTAGGACTTTAGTCAAGGTCAGAATGCTTAGAAGCGAATATGAACTTTAAGCATCATAATGCCTTTTATAAGTTATATCTTATTCAGTCTTCAAAATAGCCCTTATAAACAGTTACTTTTTCCCTCAAAGTTGACACAGGTAATGAGTGAGCCCCTTGATTCAGTCCTAGAATCAGGTAGCATCAATGCTCAAGCCTTTATTTGAACCTTGAGTAGGCTCAAATGAAAGCTTGTTGGTATTGTGGGTGAGGGCTGGCGAGTGAGAATTATAGGTTCCTGGGATTGGTTTTTGGTTGGAGCAGGGTTCTAATCTGGGGACTGTAGACTTTTTGTCAAATAATACTTTTGTACTGAGAGACTTCCCTGTCCATTTTAGGAGGCTTAAGAAAAATCCCTCACTTCTACCTTTAGAGGCTAATAGCATCCCTCCCAGTTAATGAATAATCAATATGTCATCAGACATTGTGAAATACCCCTTGTGGAGGAAAAAAGGCAAAACTACTCCAAGTAAGAACCATTTAGTTAGAGGGAGTACCAATGTTCCCAATAAACGACTTTTATTTGCATGATGAGGGAAAGGGATCCGCGTGAGACTGTAGAGCTCATGAAGGTGTTGGTAAAATAGGAATGACCTGAGCTGCAATTTGGTGTATACAAATTTTCAGTTCTAATAGGTTTAACCAAAAATATGATATAAAAGCAAATAAATTTTTAATGACAAAGAAGTCACAAAAGTCACTTACCAGAATTTTATTTGATTTCCTGTTGTTCAATGTGAGGAATCCTGTAAGAAAAACTATTCAAAAAAATAAGAGACAAAGTTAACAGGTGATGTGTTTGACCACTGTACAAACTCTGGTCTTTGGATACACAAACTCTCTGTCTGTGAACTCTCAGATATCTTATCTTCCATCAGTGCATTAGGGAGGAAAGCGGTAAGTTACTGATACAAGAATAAATAGGTGTGGGACTTGATAGCTCTAAACATGGACTCTGCTACTGAAAAAGGGAGGAGGCAGGCCCTCTTTAGGTCCGAAGACACTACCCAGATGTTTATGTAGCTGGGCTGCAAAAAAGCTCTAAGTTCTCTGGGCCTGGAAGAGGGGAGGAAGGAAGGACTTTGTCTGTTCTGACCAGAGAGGGAGA